GTCAGTGTGGGGTCCGCGGTCTTCTGTGTATGCATCTTAAGCCAAAGCAGCGTGTTAGGACATACTGCTTATTTGTTGGCTGTTGAACTTGTGATCTGGTTACCTGTTTGACCTTTGAGACAGGGCAATTGCTAAACTTGCGGTGGTGACTGAAGCATTCGTCCGATTTAGTACTTGCGCAAATTACTTTAAAGCCTTAGCAATTTGGTTGAAGTGATTACATCACACATTACTGAAATGTGGTTAGTAGCAATGGCCGCCGGCGGAAGAGCTGGGTTATTCGTGAATGCTTCATACTGTGTTGATGCAGATGCCAAATCGACAATCTGGACGAAAAGCACTTCATTTCCCAAATTGACCTGATAGTTAAAAAATACAATAGCCGATTCTTCGCTAGCATCGAAAATGCTACCAAACTGCATTCCTAATGAGTTAGTCAAGTCGAGATATTTTTGGTATCGTTTGATTAGTCGCGACTTTATTTGATTTCTACAGGGCAGGACTTTGTAAACAGTTGTTTCAGAGACAAGCGCTCAATGTAAAAGCAGGACAATAGGCAATCACCGAGGTGCTTTTGTTGCTACACTACTACTGTAGTGACATTTTCGTAAATGCAGTATAATAGATTTTAACTATTTTACGCAGTAAGCAGTAATTATTAATGAGACTTTCATGGGAATTATGAAGGGGATGAGAATTGGTACGAAAATGTCGTTTGTAGGAAGAGTTGGATTAACCACAATTTTTGCTGGCTGTGCCCAAAGACCCTTTTTTGGTGTCGATGCATTATTTGGACGCCCACCTTAGTGTTGTCAGCCGTCCGCTCCATCGGACATCTGCTTCAGATGCCGTTTGCAGAGGTATAGCTGAATTTTCTTTATGCTTTCCTGCTAAATATCATTTGCTAGCCACTCAAACTTGATTTGAATGGTGTACAATTATCGCGATAACTTGAATAGGTTTGTTTGCTAGTTTTACGATGTAACAGAGACTATTCAAATGTTCATTGAGAAAAGCAGTGCAGCTAGCAAATACATTCTGAGAGTCGTTTATGAAAACTACGTTAGCTATTTAATAGTTTCGCTTAAACCGAATGCTTTGGAAATTTTATTAAGTTAAATCCTACTACAAAACTAGTTTGTATTTCGTTTGTTTTCGTGTGGAATTTAAGTATGTTTTATCTTTGAAAAGTCTTATATGGCAGTCTTTGACCTTCCAATGATGCCGATTATGGACTCTTGTAGGTTTGTTGGTCACTTACCACATTGGACTTTCTAATTCGTATACAAGTGCTGGCAGTGAACTGGAGGTTTGACCACCTGCATGCAGAATTCCCACACAGACCGTTTGATTTTACAGCATGAGCCTACATCCTCACCTCTGGATACAAGTAAAAATAATTTGGGCAGTCGTGTGGTTTAATTTCACTTGGCATTGGAACAACACTTGGTCTAAAACTCAATTTGTTTTGCATAGTCTACTTATTTTATTTTAAGTAAAAATTATTATGCTATCATTGCTGTGGTCTCAACCGCATTTTCCTTCTCACCCATCGCCAGTAAGGTCACATGATCGCGCTTGGCGCGTTCCAAGTGTACAATGCTTACACGATATTTACTGCAGTTAAGACCTCATGAAATAGGTGGAACAGGAATTGCACATTGCTGTTAGGATGAAATTGTGCCAATTCAAGTTTGGGTTAACAAAATTCACGTTGTACTGATATTTTATCTGTGAAGCCTGCTTCAACTTGTGCGATGGTCTTTCCTAAATGATCCGGTTGTTTTTTAAATAATTGCTTGAGGTATAAGTGATTTGGATAGGCGCCAAGACAAATGATCTTACGTGCTTTATGCCTCTCCACTCCAACTTCTTCAAACTTAATGCCTTTTCAAGTCTTCAATCTGAGAGACTCAATCACCCAGTAATTGAAATAGGCCTTCATTTGCATATAGGATCCAAAATGTCAAAGGAACGGGATTTAAGATATTAACTCCCGAAACTATGCAAAGACGTATGTCATCTTGTAAGGCGATTTTATCCAATCAATCTTGAGAAGAATGTTTTTAATGCTAACATTAAGCGAGAGAAACCTCCAGTCATCACGTAATGAAGCGAAAATTATTAAGCTTAGCAATCCATTTTCGCGGTGGTGTAAACTTGCGCGCAAAAAAGGCGTGCAGGTCACAGTGATGAGTTTGACCAATCATTACTAAATGGGGAGTGTTTTCTTAAACTTCAATAACACAAGTTACTCGGGAGACCGATTTTACGGCATTGCAATTAAAGGTTCGCCCTTCCCTCTCCTAACATTTAAGCCAAAATGATTCAGCAAAACTTTGATAAGTCTGCCTCTAACTGGGCATGCGCCAAATCGGACTACCTAAATTCAATACAAACCCAAAGTACCATGCTATTGAGCTGGAAATTTGTTGCACTTTGCTCCTGTTGCCACGGTGTCCAGTACGAGTTTAATGAGGATTTCGATCTTATTGGCCAATATTTCACTTGCTGCTCAATCATTGGTTAATCTAAACCAATCAGCCCGCAGAGCTTAATGCATAGACATCCGTAGGCCACCGGTGAGATGTTGGCCCAACCGACTTCGAGGATGTCGTTCGCTTCCAAGTTTACAGGCGTGTGGTTGATTTTGAATCTTTTAGTTGTGTGTCACTGCAAGTCACAAATGCATGGCGAGAAATCAGATGTTACAAGTTGCTGGGGTTAAGCCTGATTCGAATAATTGTTCAGTAACTTAATGACCCTAAGCTAGATAACCCTTTAAACGAAAATTAAACTTTTAAGGTAGTTCTCTAGGTCTTTTACCTTGGAACTTCACTTCACTCAAACATCTATGTCATGCAAAGCTAGATTTAATTGCAATGGAGAGTGATTGTGTGGGAGGATTTATTTTATCCCGACTTTCCGCTTTAAGCGTAATTACGTCAAATCCCTTCCATTCTCCAAACTTCCCTCTACCATCCATTACAGTTTATACTCAATCCATATCCCCCATCCAATTACGATCATATGTTTTGCCCACATTCATCTCGAATCCATTCACCTATTCCTCGCTATCCATCTTCATTCCGTGTCATGCATTTGGCTACTTTATGCTATCTGAACACCTACTCCTAATAATAAAAAATCCTGAGAAGCTAATACCTGAGAACTGGAAGATGATCGATGGGAGGCGTGTTGTAGAGGCCTTGACACCGTAAAGACCTTTTCTCGATCTTCCATTAGTCCTTGGTACAGTATTAATTGTGGCTCTACCACCTGCACGTGACATGACTACAGCCAACGGACCTGGATTTGGAGAAGCAGATAACCGCTAGGATATCCATCATGACCAGATGGCAAGCCCATCATTTTGATTTTAAAAAGTGATCATTTCTATTCGACCGAATTTGACATCACCTGTACACCCCCTTCAACTGAGTCAGGAAAACCAGGGTTATACTCGAAGATTTCTGAACTGTTCCACCTTTACGTAGTGAGACATCAGGCCTCAACCAGCCAAATCCCTAATTTGCTGTCTCATTCAACATCTTTAAAACACAGCTATAATCACATTAAATCCATTTGCTCACAATCCGATACGCAACCGCCGAAACTTGTTTGAGCTCCTCCCTCTCTCCTCCCACTGGTTAAATCGTCGCCCGCTGATCCCCACTCTCAAGATTGTCTCAATTACCTGGCCATTCATTGATGCCCTAGTGATTGGTGAGGCTATACCCAAAGATAACGTTGAACTCCAGGACTAAAAATGGACAATGTTTCTAAAACGTGTTTAGCTGAAACGAGGTTCATTAAAGGCAAGATTGCCACACAACACTCGCTGTCAGTCTCGGAGGAAAATTTGCAGCTAAAAGTCCATGAGGCAACAAATCTGTAGAGACTAGTGAGACAGAAAATGATGACGCTATAGTCTTAAGATCAACCATTCTACTAATTTCACGGTCCAACGCACCCAGGCGTAATGTAAACGAATGAAGAACACATGACTCGCGCGTGTGGCAACAACAAACGCCTTTCGATGCACTTGGGTCTGCAGTCAGCAAATAAGTCGACTAAATTTCGCCTAATTGGAACAAAAGCAACAGTTCCAGTAGGAAAATAATTGTGACGCTACTTACTCATTTTGATCTAGAATTGTTCAAAATACCACCCTCTACAAATTCCGCAAATTACAAGGTAAGGAAAATGAACCACTTTAAGGATTTGCTTTTAATAAAATTACAACAAAAAGAATCGCGATAATAGTGCTAGATGAAAATAGTCGGAATAAAACGCAGTGATAGCTCAAAAGTGAAACGATTGGCCGACCATCTTAATGTAAAACCACAGGACTACCAGGTGAGAAATAAAATCACTATCAGAGGAGCTATTACGAGCATGAATCAAACAATTCCTGGGGTCACGATTTTGTTAACAGGATCAAAAAACTGCTCACTCCAATATATCAAAATTACAATATGCCAAACAATACAGTGGCGAATTATAGGCGAGAAAAAATGACGAAAGTAGCATAAAACAACAGAGTTACTAGCGTCTAATACAGAGTCCCCGTTATAGCAAACTGGGAAATAATATGGTCTGACATTCATGCAATGTAGCCAGTGGTAATCAAAAACACAAAAAAGAGAAAGGATGCCCAATCCATAAGAGAGCTAAAGAAAACAACAATAGCCCAAATGGCGACACACTGGCGATGGAATGGGGACGCCCACTTCATGATTCACGTAAAGTAACCCTACTAGTGTGGACTCCTTTGGGGCGCATTCAGATATGCCTCTTATGGTGAGAACATCTCGAGTTGTAAAGTGCAATTATTTGAAATTAACAACTCCCACAAGTTTCGTCTAGAAAGACAGCATGCCGCCGAGAACACAAGGAAAATGTACCATTAGTTCACTGGTTTCGATGATCAATTTTACTTCACAAAGATACTCTTGCTGAGTACATGTTGAAAGAGCGACGTCACAAATCAAAGTAGGTTAGAAAGCCATTCTTATGTGTTGGATGATTTCGAAAACGGCTAAGAGGAAAGAATTTAAAAAAGGCAACAGATTACTTACCTGAACCACAAACAACGAACACGATGAGCCCGAGGACCCAGGCATTCAGATTCGACTGATCATCGTTTGATTTCTAAACCTTTATCAGACAACAGAATTTGAAATAATACCAGTGACTTAGGCACATTTCCGCGGTTAGTAATATTGCTATGAGCACGCTCATTCTGGATCTTCATACGCTGCTTGGCGCTCATCCCTACGAGGGACTATAACAGAGCTAAATACGTAATTGCGACGCATATAGAAAGTTCACTTTAACAAGCACTCTACAAAACTGTTTAGACACGTTTTCATAATTGATTAAAGATGTTTCTACTGTTGACAGCTTGAATAATTCAATAAAATTGTGATTCTATTGGGAGCCTTGCATGAGGAAATCCTCGCATGTCCATCTCAAGGATTTTGCCAAATTCAGTTAAGACGTGTCTTTGCTGAAATAGTATCGAATTAAAAGCAGTTTTTGTGTATAACACAGTCCTCCCCAGCCATAGCAAGATTTAATGATTTGTAACTTGTGATTTTAGATTCAACAGTGCGAGTACTAGTTTCACCAAATGTAAGTATAGTGTCTTGAGACGCCCTTCATGTAGAAGACTGCATTGCACTGTACAGAATACATGCATTCTAAAAGAAGGGATAGTGTCTCGGCATGGCCCGAAGGCCAGCTCACTCGTACAAATGCAGAACGAATGTCAAGGTAGCCGCTGGATACTAGGTAGTCACACAAACAAAGCAGTTCGGCAAGGTTTTCAGAAGTAGGCACAAGGCAAAGACCAAACATTGCTTGAGGTTATTTGTGACATCTTCATCCTAGCTCTTTTCGAAATTCACATCAGCCGTATCGGGAGGTTGTTTCGGCGATAGCTTATTAGGTATCACTACAGAGGTACAGGCAACAGGGATAGTGCAGCGACTCCCGCCCTACTCCAAATGTCTTGTTCTTCGCCCTTCATAAGGAGTGGTTTGCTCTGGAAAGCTTTATTAGGGATTTACTGTAACCTCCCAAGGCTTCCCATAGAGTGGAAGAAGGCATAAGTGGGGTCGAATACATGTATTCCGGAGACAACAGGGCATATTGGACCTGAGCATGGCCCGAAGACCAGTCTACATGTACAGGGTCCAGACAAAATCTAAAGTGACCGCCAAACGTCAGGTAGTCACACAAACAAAGCATAGCATTTACTCTGGCCTGCATGAATATTTTGTGTCAATAATGAGAATATTCTTAACGTTAGCCTAGATTAGGCTCCGCAAGCCCCTTGCAATACGGGATTCGTCTTTAATCTCACCTTTATCTGTAAGGGCAACTTAAGGACAGATTTGTGCATTAAATGAAGTGGCACAACTAGGATAGTTCTCGTAAGGACCCTCGCATTACACTTGTTTGGTTCGAATAAAACACAACGGAAACATCTAACATGTTCAACACGTGACAAGGCTCCGAGGTTAGCCTCTGTGTTGATGGCATTGAGGTCAGCTCAGTGACCGACACTGTAATACTTGTCGAGCATCATGGAAAACTAAAAATTCCTAAATGTTCCCAATAAGTGACACAATCCACCTTTAAATGAGATCTACACATCAACAGACTCTACGTAGCCAAAGAGCTTGATGATGCACCTGACTAGTAAGACTGCTTTTACTAACTATTGTCGTAAGAGTAAACAAACGCTGGATTGCTTTGACTTTCTGTAGTACACTTTTAGCGTTATGAGAATTTGTTTTCAGTAAGAGAAGGCACAATCTTAGCCAAGTAATCAGACGAAAAAGGCCCAAAAGGCCAGTTCAATTGAGATGTCATGACGACTGCATAATTTACTCATCGCAGGGTTTTTAGATGTTGCTAGAAGATGAGTAAGAACCGACCTCCTCACTCGCCAATTCTTATGCTTCAATTGAATAGTGAGATGTGCTTGGTCCTAAAAGGATCATCAGGGGCATAAACTTTGTTGATCATCAACTGTTTTAGAACAGGACGTTAAAAAATTTTTAAGAAATTAATGCGTAACAATAAAAGGAGTTTAACGTACGTCCATGTAGAAGGGTGTATGTCGTAATGTCTTTACGCAGATATGGTTAAAATAACCTCAAATAAAATATTCTAATGGTACTACGGTGGTCCCTCTTTAGATGTTAATATCTTGGTTGCTCAGTCTTTCTGCTGTGGAGAAGTAAGACGTCTTCTTAACACAACTACATTCGTGCTCCACTGTCAATGGCGAAGCGTTCCGAGACTTTCCACTTGATTGCGAGAAATATAAGATTCGGCTGGGAAGGTATAGGAACATAAAAGTGAGAATCGCGAATTCGGAATTACTCAAGTATAAGTTCACAGATCAGAGCATTGTTGATGCAAATACCTGTAACACTGGCGGTCACTTTAGCATTCATCCATTTTCGAGAGAAAGTAAGTTGGCTAAAGGACCTATTGAAGCTAAACGTCTTCCCTTCCCTCCTTAGTGCCTCCTTCCACAGAATGGGAAGTGCCTAGCTGCTACGCAAATGAAAGGAAATGTAACTACCACACATAAAGGTTTATTACTTTTATACCCTTCCTGCTCTTGTGCTAGTGGCTGGCAATGCGTTGAAGCCAAAGTCCAAGCCCTCCTTAATCTCCTCGAAAACACATTTTTAGTCTAAATTAAAGCATTCTTCTGTAGCGTCTCGAGACTTCCCTCGGAGTGGGAGAAAGCAGCGAGGTTGGATACATGCATTCTGGCCCGAGGGTCAGACCACAGATACAAGGGCCAGACAAATCCTAAAGTGACTGCCTGTAATACATACTAGAGTGTTTAAGTGTGCCTTTATAGGGAACAGGCGAGAAGCAATTTGAGACGCGAATCTCGCGCGTGAGGACCGTGAGAAATCTCTCTCTGGGTGACATCGGCTATTCGGCTCACCTGTTCTCCTGCACCCCATTCCTCCTTTAACCATTGCCCAATAAATCAACTGCAACTAACCCTTTCTTGAAGTCCTTAAATCAAGGGCAGGAGGGTAGGCAAGCAGTTCCTACACTGGTAGCAACACCGGTCGACATTTCTCCCTTTAAAGAAGGACCCGATTTCGATGACTGATTTCTCCTTACCAAGGCAGAGCTCGAGCTCTGAGATGCTGTATGGAGAGTGCCATTGCTACTCCGCAATTGCCCTATTATCTACGTCGGGAGGCAATGGACACGGGTATCACGCTCTCCTCGGATATCGAAGAGTGCTGTGAAGTTCTTGTCTAATTGACACCCTTCTAGAAGGGAGAATTTTGTTTTCTGCGTTTTTTACCCGTTGCGAAATCCGGGAGAGAGTGATGAAGACTTTGCCGGGAATCTCCAGGCATTAGTCAAACAGGCATTCAAGGATTGCCGTACCTTGCGGGTTGCCGCATGGATATCGGCCCAATTCAAAAGGGGCGTGCGTCCACCTGTTTTGGCAGAACAACTGGTGCAGATGAAGACTAGCAGATTAAGCCGCCTAATCGACGCGGTACTAGCTAAGCGCCAAGAGTTACATCTCTCGACCGACTTCAAGGCCCGCATTCGCGCGTGGACTCCCAACAGACGGCCAACTACTGGCGGGCAAAGGCACGCGCCCCGAAGCCGTACCTCAGCACAAAGTACGATAGAGTTTTCTTTGTCTTGTCTACTTTCCTCACGATCTCCTAATTTAATGCGTGCACGGGGTAAGATTGAAGGTCACACATACTCTTTCCTTCTGTACTCGGGGTCAGCCCGTTCCGTACTAAACTTATAAGCCTTCCGTATGG